TAATATGCTACATTTTATTTATCTATTCATCAGTAGATTGGCACTTGGGTTGTTTCTACTTTTGGCTATTATGAATAATGCTGTTGTGAACATTCATGTACAAGTTTTTGTGAGGTTGTATGTGTGTCTTTCTCTTAGGGCTATAACTCAGAGTAAAAGTGCTGAGACTGTCTTCAAACTGTCTTCCGAAGTGGCTATGCCATTTGATACTCCTATAGGATAGATGAAAAACTCCAATTCCTCTACATCCTTGCCAATATCAGAATTTTAGGGATGTAAGAAGAGTCACCTACTATGAGCATATCTTTTGAGGACAGAGAATACATAGCATAGAAGTGGCAAAAAGGCAAAAGGTAAAACACTTAAATTGAAAGATGTTTGATTTGTATGGGGAGAGGAGAGGAAGAAGGGAAGGAGAAGAAAAAAAGATGAGGTGGAGCAGAGAGGAGAGGGGAGACTGAGATTAGTGGAGATGGAAATCAAGACAGTAAGACTGCACGGAAGCAGGACAAAGATAGTGAAAAGTATGCAGAGAATATCGACAGTATGGAGAAATTTATATTTTTTGAATTTGCTTTAGGCCAAAGAAGTAAAAATTTAGGCCAAGTTCAAGTAGCTCTCGAGGCCATGGGGCTTCAGCTGCCTGCTCGGTGAAATCCAGCTATTCCCTTTCCCCCTTCCATTATTTCCATTCATCCTTAAAAACTGTCTAATATGTCCTATTAAAAAAGATAAAATAAAAGCTTCTGTGACTCTGCTTCTCTACCCAGTTACAGTTCTTTTTCTCTACTTCCCTTCAGAGTCAAGATTTATGCATAAACATTACTTCCTGACCTTCTGTAACTCTTTTGGTTTGATTCTCCTTAGTCCACTAAAGTTAATCTTAAAGTCACAAGTTTCCTTCATGATCCCAAATGCAACTGTGTATTTTTTAAAATAATGAATTCTACTTTTTGGAGTAATTTTTAGGTTCATAGCAAAACTCAGCAGAGAGGAGAGTTTGCTTCCACATATATACATCCTGTCACACTAATAACATCCTGCACAACAATGGTATATTACAATAGATGAACCTATACTGATTCATCATTGTCATCTAAAGTCTCTAGTTTACCTTATGATTCACTCTTTATGCCATATATTCTATGGGATTTGACAAATATGTAAGAACATTTATTCTCTCTGTGGTATCATACGAATAGTTTGCCCTAAATATTAAAGAGGCCTGGCCAACATTGGTAAAGTTGATTATAGCAAATAGTTTCTTAACTTATCTTTTAAACTTACTGGATATTAAGGGTCTCTCTTGGTTTTTATATAATAGTGAGATCTGAAATACTGAAAAGTCATGTTCATTTTTAGAATTCATTTTCCTTCATAAGACAAGTGATATGTTAACTCCTGGGAATACACTTGTATAGATTCCTAATTGAATTATCCAAAATAGAAGCATCTCAACTTTTTGGATTTACATCAATCTTTTGTGTCTGCTTTTAAAAATAAAGTACTTGTATTTGCATTCTCCATATTTTGGAGAAATGATCTAAAAAAAGAAAAGAAAATGATGTTAGCTTAGTTTTTTGTAGATGTTATCAACTTGATGAAATTATGCTGTGATTCTAGTTTGCTGAGAATTTCAAACATGAATATTTATTTGATCTGGTCAAAGGTTTCTTTTGCTTTTCTTGATATGATTGTGTCACTTTATTATCTAGCTTGTTTATGTGATAAATTGTATTAATTGATTTTCAAATGTTGAACCAGTTTTGTATACCTGGGATAAATCCCACTTGGTTGTTATGTGTTATTCTTTTCATATAGTAGTCAGTTTGCTACTATTTTTATTGAGGTGTTTTTATACCTATGTTCATAAGAAATATTAGCTTTCTTGTAACATCTTTGCCTCATTTCACCATTAGGTTTTGACATATGGAGACATATGAATGAGATGGGAAGTATTACTTTTGCTTCAGTCTTCTGGAAAAGACTGTAGAGAAATGGTACAATTTCTCCCTCAAATGTTTGGTAAAATTCATGAGTGAATCTGATACTTTTGATTTTGGAAAACTATTAATTATTGATTCAATTTCTTTAATTTACATAAGTCTATCATCTGTTTATTCTTGCATAAATTGCCACATTATACCTTTCAAGGAGTTATTTCATTTTATCTAGGACAAATTTGTGAGCATAGAGTGACTCATAATATTAATTTTTTTCATAATATTAATTTACTATACTGTTAATGTCAATGAAATCTAGTGATGTTTCTTCTCCAATTTCTAAAACATGTCATTTCTACCTCCCACGTTTTTTCTTAGCCTGGCTAGAAATTTACTAATTATATGGATTGTTTTCAAAGAATTGGCTTTCAATTTTGTTGCTTTCTTCTATTCATTTCCTGTTTTCAATTTCACTTATTTCTTCTTGGTTTTTGTTTTTGTTTTGCATCAGGAGTTGAGCTCAGGACCTTGCACTTGCCAGGCAGGCACTCTGAGTTATATTCCCAGTCCCTTATTTTTGTTTTGATTCCTCTTAATTTTCTTTTGATTACACTGGACTTAATTTTGTTTTCCTAATTCTCTAAGGTAAAATCAATTATTTATTTTAGATCTTCTTTTCTAAAACGTACACTCAATGCTATAAATATCCCTCTACACACTTTTTCCTGCATACCATAAATTGTAATTGTATATTCAATTAATTCAAGATATTTTTTCTAGGATTGGTGGTAAATACCTGTAATTCCAGCATTCAGAACGCTGAGGCAGAAGGATCTCTGGGAGTTTAAGACCAGCCTCAACTACATATTGAGTTCAAGACTAACTTGGACTACAAAGCAAGACCTTGTCTCAAAAAAACCAAAAACAAGAACAGAGCTATTTTAAAATCTGTTTTGCCTATCTTCTGCTCTACTTTGAAGATGATAAAGAGACATTAACTATACTTATTCCCTTATTTTTCTATGAAATTTTATTTTTCTTAAAAACGTTTTGATACTTTTGTTCAGTATGTTATTAGATGTTTTATGGTCTACAAAGACATGACATTCAAGCTGTGTGTCTGATTTATTTCACTTAGCATTATGTTCTTGAGGTGCATCCATTTTCCTTTACTTTTAATCTATATGTGTCTTTATATGTAGAGTGGGTTTCTTATTTTTTAAGAAAAGAGTTTAGTTTTATTTTTTATAAACTGTGGAAAAAACCCTGTCATTAATTGATGATTTCAGACCATTAACTTTTAAATCTGTTACTGATTTTTATTTGTTGCACTGGAGATTGAACCTAGGGCCTTTATACTGAGATATATACCAAACCCTTTTAAATTTTTCTTAAATTTTAAGACAGGGTCCTCCTAAGTCATTAAGTTGCCCGGACTAGGCTCAGATTTGTGAGCCTAAGGTTTCTTGTAAGCTTGCTTTCTTATTCAGGCTTCGAGGTTTACAAGTGTGTGCCAGCACATCTGACTGTTCCATTATTTTTATTATGCATTCATTACATATTTTATTTTTGTCTCACATTTCTTTGGATTTTCTGTTTTCATTATTTGCAATGTTTTTTTTTCTCTCTTTTTAGTTTTGGAAATATCTTCTGTCATATCTCAAGTTCAAGGATTCTTTCTGCTCTACTACTAAGTCCATAAAAAATATTCCTCATTTGGGTTACAGTGTTTTCAAATCCTGACATTTCTCCTTATTCTTTATTAGACCTTCCATTGCTCTCCTGTTAGTTAGACCCACCCCCTATTAGATTCACCAGTTCTTTTTGCACTGAAGTTCTTAGCATATTAGTAAAAAAGGCCACTGACTCTCAACATTTCCATCTACATGCAGCATTAGATGCCTGTCTGTTCTATCACATCAAATAGCATTTCTGTCCATTAAAGCCACACAAGATGGAAAATCAGAAGTCTTAATACTTCTCACTCGTTCACCCTCTGTATCAATTCATTAACTCAATAGACAAAAGTTTCCTGAATCTCTGCATATGTCTTCACCTCTCCTACAAAATATGTACCCTGATCAAAGCCACAATAAATACCCTCTCACTAAAACATCTTCATACTAATGGCTCGCCTTAACACTGTCACTCTTTTTCAGTTTGCTCCCTAATTTATATAACAGACAGTACAGTGTAATAGAAAGAATATATGGCTCTGGTTTTGGATTTAAAAAAAAAAAAAGACCAGCCTTGGACCAAAAGAAAATAAAGCCTTTTGTATAAAACAAAACAAAAAACAGCCACAAACGCCTGAAGAAAATTAAACCTCACTTTTCTCAGCCATAACATAAATCCAAACAAACACAAGCAAGTCAATTACTCTTCCAACTGGAATGTATAGAGAAATAACATAACTAATAAAGAGTCACTCAAAGAGCAGTTTTTATTATCTACAAAATAAAGTCCAAATTCTATCTCAAAGACATTCAGATTCAAGCTTAATGTCCGAAATAATCTTCAGCATAAATCACTGTTTGGCTACACAAAACATTTATTATTTTTGCTTTACTAACTGATGGACATCTAACTATTCAAAAAGAAGTAGAAAATGAAATTTTAATTCTTTAATTAAATATACATGTATAGTCCTGTATAAATACATAGGTTTTTCACAAAATTGAGTAGTTCAATCGCTAAACTACAAAATGCATTGAATCCGGCCAGCCAGATAGCCTAGTGGACTAAAGTGCCTGCTTAGGCAAACACAGGGACCCGGTTCATTCCCCTGCATGCCATGCTGGCCCTACCCCTGGGGTGTGCTGAGAGGGACTGGGACTGGGTGTGGTGGCGCATGCGTGTAATCCCAGAGCTTGGGAAGCTGAAAACAGGAGAATCACTGAGTCTGATCTGTGTAGTAAGACCCTGTAGACCCTGCACTAAATACATTTTTAAAAATGCATTGAATTACCGCTTTAAATAGCTGAAAATGATTCCTATAGATGTGTTACTTAGAAGTATATCCTTTTTTAGTAAAATTACTTATGCATTAATACTTGCTTTTTTCTTTGTTTCTTCAGAGGTTGCAGGAGAAATTTTCTTGGCAAGTAAAACCTCACAATCTGCATTATCTGTAAATAAAAGCATAGTTTAGTACTCTACTTAACTTACCATTATAAGTATAGAGAACAAGAGCTGGTGAGATAGTTCAGTGGACTAAACACCTGCTTAGGCAAGTGCAAGGACCAGGATTTGAGCCCAGGTATCACACACCACACTGGCCGCACCCCTGGTCAGGCCAAGCCAGCCACTGAGTCTGGGCATGGTGGTGCATACCTGTAATCCCAGCCGTGAGGAAGCTGAAAACAGGGGGAACACTATGAGCCTGGGCTGTATAGTGAGATCCTATACCAAATGCATTTAAAAAAAAAAAAAAGGTATAAAGAACACAACTCAAATTTAAAACAAAATAAAAATCTGATTTTAATGACTGCGACTTAGTAAATTTATAAAAAAATTTAATATGCTGAATAATCTCAAATAGAAGAAAATATCATTAACAAACACTCTGGAGAATTCCAGGTTTTGTGTAAACAGTATACAAAACATTTTTTTTCTTTTAAAAATTTTTTAAAAAAATCTTTTATTTACTTACTTGGCATAGGGTCTCGCTATACAGTTTGGACTCCTAGTGATCCTCCTGTCTCAGCCTCCCTAGTACTGGAATTACAGGATTGTAGCACCATGCCAGGTTGTTTTTTTAAAAATAATTTTATTGAGAAACAAATAGTAATAAGACAGTTTCAAAACCAATTACTAGCACAGTTTCAATAATTAATACATTGCATATTGTTCTCTTAGTGGTTATTCAGCGTACAAGATGTAGACATGACATCCCATCCACAAACACTATTAGAACAAATTTATCTATTCACTGAATTAAGAGAATGAGGCTAACTATTTTGAATATACAGATACAAAATGGTCATTCATTTGTATCCCTTTTTTGTTTAGTTTTGTCAGAGAAGGGTATTCTATTGTCATTTAAATCCTGTAGGTGCATGAATTCAGCAAAATATTCCAACATAGTCCAGTAGCCCATAATAGTAGTGGGTTATCTGTAGGACTGGCAATGTCAGAAGTTGTTGACTTGAGCCTTTCACAGCTCAGCATAGTAATATGGCTTTACTTTTTATACCTGGTTTTTATACTTTTCGGCTGGATGGTTAAGAAAAACACAGAGCAAGACCTATATAACAAGAAATGTAGCTTTTGTATCTGACAAGGTCAGTCATATCCCCTCAGGATTTACCCTGAAACCTTGTACCGCAGTTTGTAGATTCTTTGTCAGTGTCAGCCATGTGGATGAGTCACGTCCACTGCTTGATCAATGTGCTCTCTGTGAAAGCATGTTTTCTCTCCATGTGACTCTCCTTGGGCACACTCTACATCATCGATCACTTTCCTCTGTGGCCCCATAATCTCCTTGATCAGAAAATTTGGGACACAACTGAGTTATAGGATGTTACAGTACAGGTTCTCCTATGTCCTGAGTCTTCATTGACTTTGAAAGACTAGGGTCAAAATGTTGGCTGTCCTTGCAGCCCTTCTTTTTCTCTGATTTTTGGTCTGCAAACTTAGGTTCTTAACCCTCCAGAAGACAAGCTTATTAGTATTACCCTACAACATAGGCAGTTGAGCTTAACCTTACTATCTGTCTGAATATCAAACATCTTAGGCATAACACGGAACAGGTATTTTCTATCAAGTATTGACATGTTAAACTTTAAGTCTCTACAGAATATAAAGAAAAAAATTAAAAAATTAAAAAACAGGAATAAACAGTTATATATTTTTACACAGAAATTTAGAAATCTAACCATATACAGCATTATAGCAGAACAGTCTTGTGACTTTTTTTTCCTTGTCTCTTGTTTTCATTTATCATTCTTTTTTTTTATTTTAACATTTACTTGAGAGAGAACATGACCATGCCACATTTTGGTGGCCAGCATGGCATACCTTGAGCTCCAGGGCCAGTATGGCATGCGGTATTGGAGACTGAACCTGGGTCCTTGAGCTTGCCAGGCAGGCGCTTAGACCACCGAGCTAGCTCCCTAATCCTTCTTTTAAATTAGTAAAGAAATGTGTAATTAAAAATTTTATCATTTCATTATCCTGGGGGGCCTACCCCTTAGCTCAGTTCTTTAAGTGGTGGCTTCAACAAATCAGTCAGGCTCAGGTTGCTGTGGTTCGATCCCCACAACTCAAGCCAGCCAAAACTGCCCTGAAGGCATTCGGAGAAAGAAAAAAAATCCTTACTCCATTTCATTATCCTGCATTTTCTTTCTAATTTTTATTAGTATATTTTTGCAGTACATAATAATTATATTCATTGTGAGGAAGTGGTACAGGTACATGA